ACTGAAGCGGTGTTAAAGTTAATGATATAATTAATGAGATAATTAAGTGATTAATTGAGTCATGATTGAGCATTATTGAAGACACCTGATGTTAACAAGCAGAATCTCTGAAGGAGAAAACCGGAATTTTTATGTCACCGTTATGGAGATCAGTGTGTGTTTTAGTTGGTCTCTTGACCCTTAAATCATTAACTTTAGATGTTGTTTGCCTGCTGTACGTGAGTTATAACAGCCGGATGAACAACTAGAATGGGTGATCTGATGGTGTTTGTGTTTTAACAATCATTATTTCACAATCATTTGACCTGATTCACTGAACTTATATTGAGTCCAATTTAGGTTTACTGTATTAATTATAGCAGCACTGGCCTTGTACAGCATAATATTTTTACCTTGTACAATGACATCCTAAGATTTTTTTTAAACATGTCTCATGTCATTTTTAGACACACAGACATCAATAATCAGCCTGTGAATCTCATCAATGGTGACAATAATAAGCATGTTGCAGTGCATTCTGGGTGCACCAATCAAAACTCATTCATGGCTCCCAGCATGCATTGCTGCATGAATAAATAATGAGCTTATGTTCAGAGGTGATCTGTTTGTCACCATTGCTGAGATTCATACGTTAATTATTGATGTCTGTGTGTGCCAACATAAGTGGTTTTGAAGTTTTCTTTTTATTGAATTGATACAGGGCCGGCGCTCCGCACACGCACATCACGCACTGCGCGTAGGGCACCAAGTGCTTGGGGGGGCACCAAAAAATCTGGGTCGTAAAAAATCATCACAATAGGCTACTAGTATAAATAACAAATAAAATATGTCTAAAGCATGTTAATATACAAAAGCAATACAAAAATAATATAGGCCTAGACCAAATTAGTCGAGAAAAAGGTGAATTTCCTGTGCCAGTCTCTCTCTGGTCCCCCCCCCCCCCCTCCCCACCTCCCAGTGGTCTGTTCGATTATGCCTCAATCAATGTCAAATTTGGCTGACATCGACCTCAGACATGGCCTCGAAAAGGCACCAAGAGTCGGGGGCAAAAAAAAAAAAAAAGAATAGACAGCGGGATGATACTCGCGCGTCACTTGCAGGTAAGACAATGTTTTAAATAAAAAGTTTTGTTAGTTTTGTAGCGCGGGCACCCTTGCGTCGTGTATGCATGTCCAGGGGGGCGTCGCTAGTAGGCTAGTGCAAATGAAATGATCCGGGTTTTTTTTAGCCCTGCATGTTGAATCTTTTATTTTATGGGGGGTCCGGTGGTTTCTCCCCCGGAAAATTTTGAAACTTGGGCTGTTTAAGATGCAGTTAGTTTGTTTGAGAAGAACGTATCTAAGACCGCCTTAGATAAGTTTTTTCGTTGTTGTTCTATGCGGATAATGCGGTCATTTTCAAGAGGTTCATTGAGCATGCAACACAACTTCTCGTCCAGGCCCTGGTCATTTCTAGGCTTGATTACTGCAATGCTCTTCTGGCTGGACTTCCATCATGTGCAACTAAACCTTTACAAATGATCCAGAATGCTGCAGCTCGGCTGGTCTTCAACGAGCCCAAACGGTCCCACGTCACTCCTCTGCTCATCTCTCTGCACTGGCTACCACTCACTGCTCGCATCAAGTTCAAGGCTTTGACGCTTGCTTACAGATTGACCACAGGATCAGCTCCCTCCTACTTCCACTCACTACTACAAGTCTACATCCCTACCAGAAGCCTACGATCAGTCAAGGAGCGACGGCTCGTGGTACCATCACAGAGAGCCTCAAAATCACTCTCCAGAACATTCTCATTCACGGTACCATGCTGGTGGAACGATCTGCCCACCCTCATCCGGAATGCAGAATCCCTGGCAGCATTCAAAAGACAACTGAACCCTCATCTCTTCCGTGAGCACTTAGCATAGCAAAAAAAAAAAAAAAATCTTTCCTTTTCCTTTAAATCCTTGCTTATCTGGCTTTTGCTACTCCGAGCAATGTCTGAACTTTGTATTTTGAGCACTTCTTACGTTGTTTTTGTCTCTTCACGATGACTCGCTTGGTTTAGTCCTCAGTTGTAAGTCGCTTTGGATAAAAGCGTCTGCTAAATGACTAAATGTAAATGTTCATAGGCCAAGGCCCAAGGTCGACATCTGTTGGTGAAACTGCAATTAGAAAAAAAAAACCCACAATCTCAGTGTTTGTATATTTTCATATTCACAGAGTTGTCAAATTATTAGGGCTGGGAAAAGATTAATCGGTGTATGAATGAGTGCGTGAATGGGTGAATGTGAGGCAAATGTAAAGCGCTTTGGTGGCCATTGGGTCTGTGAAAGCGCTATATAAATGCAGTCCATTTACCATTTAATCCCATCCAAAATAAAAGTTTGTGTCTACATGGTATGTGTGTGTACTGTGTATAATTATTTTGTATATATCAATACACACACACACATATGCACGTATATATTTAAGAAATATTTGCATGTATATACTGTATATATTTATATATAATTTATATTGTATATAAATTTAAATATTTTATATATAAATAACAAATATTTCTTAAATACATACATGCAAATGTGTATTTATATATATACAAAATAATTATACACAGTTATGCACCACCAAGCATTTGTGCTTAGGGCACCCAAATGGCTAGCGCCACCCCTGAATTGACAATTTGGATTTCATTGAAAAGGCTAAAAATATAATGCTGAACAAGGCCAGTGCTGCTATAATTAATAAAGTAAACCTAAATGGGACTCAGCATGAGTTGATTCAGGTCAAATGATTGTGAAATAATGATTATGTTAAAATTCAGCCAACACCATCAGATCACCTTTTCTAGTTGTTCATCTGGCTGTCAGCAGCCAAACAACATTACAAGATAATGATTTAAGGGTCAAGAGACCAACTAAAACACACACTGATCACCATAACGGTGACTTAAAAAATATATTTTATATTTATATATATTTATATATATATGAGAAATATTGATATATTCTCATAGATTCACATCATATTTCTATAGACAGGAATAATATTTATTAAATGTATACCCAAATGTGTCGATGTAATCATTATGATCGCTTCTTATTGAGATGTGCTGTGTTTTCAATTCATACCAATAGCCTGGGGGCGCTGCATGCACAATAACAGTCCATATATGGATCATGAAGAAGACCCATAGTCATGTGACATTCCAGGACGTCACTGATACAGAAAGTAGCTGACAGAGATCGTTGTAACATGCAGATAAAGATGTTTTGAAGACAATAAACATGATTGCAATGATATTTGAGTTACCTGTGTTCTTCAAGCCATGCCAGGTATTTCATAATAATAGATTATATTTAAAATGTAATGCTAATCGATATAGATTTCATCATCGTGCAGAACACTATAAATAATACATTTTCTGTCGGATTTTGTTTTTATCTGAAGCCAGATCAGATCACAGAAGATTATTTAAAACACTCGACTTGCGTTATAAAGTAAGTTTGGTTCACAAATATGGTTTTAATCTCATAAATGGTCGTGTATTGATGGTGTGCTAAGCTAACATGCTAGCTAGCCCAGGTGCACCTGCTACCAGTTTATTGTTTTATGATTTTTTTTTTTCTAAATAGGAATGCTTACTGAAATGTTAAAGTGCATTTGATACCAGTTTCAAATATTTAGTGAGAACTTTGATAAAAGTAATTAGGGTTTGAAACCCTATGAATAGCCTGTGAATAGCCAGTCATTAGTAGCTATAATGCAGACAAAATAAATGCATATTTAGAGCCTTAACCAGTCTGGAGAGGTGTAAATGCGTGCAGGGGAGACTGACACTGAATGAGGCTCGTTTGCACCACAAAACAATAGCTAGACAATAGACTGAATAGATGACTCAGAAGATGACTAAACATCAGTTTGCATTTTAGAGTCTAATCAAAATAAAGTAATTTGACATGATCTTGAAAAACATTTAACTAAATACAGAGTTTTAGACTTATCATTTTCAGATTTTAAATATAAAATGGTCAAACATATGGCTTTAGCTGCAGTGCATTTCTAGATTGCTCCAGGGCCAACTTCAATTTTATTTTCATGAAGATGTTTCATAAAAATAAATTTCTAATAACTTTACAAAACTTTGAAGCTATTTAAAAATGCATTATGACTAATTACTTCTACATTTACAATAAACTTCCAGGTGTCAGCTTTCAAATGAGATCTTACTTGTGCTTTTAGTGCAAAGGGTTCATGAACTGCATCTGTTTCAGTTTGGGAATGCCATTTCTGGGGATTTTTCAAAAGTGGGCTTGCAGCTTAACAGTTTAACATCAGGTGTCTTCAATAATGCTCAATCATCACTCAATTAATCACTTAATTATCTCATTAACTTTAACACTGCTTCAGAGTCATTTAACTTTTTGTTGAGCAGAATAACTATTTTGATTACTATTAAATTAAAAATTAAAGTTTAAACCAAATCAAAAATATAGCTTGAGAAAGACTAATACATTTAGTTGTAACAAATTACAGTAATTTTTTAGGTTGGTCCAAAGTATAATTTTTTTCAGTGGATGCTGTTTTCTGTTCATGAGGTTTCTGATCACAGTATCAATCTGATTGACAGGTGCAGTGAGATGCTTTACTGTCACTGGATATTCTGGAGGAAGTCTTCTTGTGGATTCTGGGAGGTTCTGGTTCAGCGCAAATACTAAAAGCTTTAATAAATTACCTGAGTGGAGAAGTATATTCAATGATATGAAACATGATAAATGGATCAATAATGGAAAATTCACATTGTTTAGAAATAATGAGGGAACCCTTATGATCTACATCAGAGGTTTGAATGAACACGACGCTGGAGGATACTGGATTGGTGTTCTTTACAAGTGGGGTATAGACATGACGTTAAATGTGGAAGAAGGTCAGTCATTTTAAGATCAAAATCTTGGTGTAGTAAAATTCCTGATATTTTTAAAGCCTGTATAAAAGTTTTTCTTTCTTTTTTTGTAAACAACAGATTCATGTTATAAATATTCAAAGAGAGTGATGGTGAATATTGGAGAAACTGCAACCTTCAGCTGTGAATATTCACAGAATCATATTAATGATCCCAAGATCATATTCAAAGAAGGAGAAGACTCTATTGAGACGATTTACAGCACATGGAATAAGACAGAAAGATTCAGTGTTTCTGATGACAAATTAAAAAATCTCTTCAATGTGAGAATTTCTGCAGTGACTCCAGATGATGGAGGAGTTTATTTATGTGGAGTTTGGATCTACAGTCATTCGTACAGTTACTCCATTATTAATACTGTTCATCTATATGTTGGTAGTAAGTAAAACAACCTTTCAATCAAATCTTACATAAAAGTTTCTAAAATCAGTGTGTGTTGTAGAATTTATCAGACATGATATTGGTGATGAACCTGAGCAGTTGAAGTATTATTGTTTACTTTCCATAAAAAAACTGAAATATTGTATAAGCACCATCATTAATGTAAAATATAACTGTTCTTTGATTGTAGTGGCTCCAGTAGTGAGACGTGAAGGAGAATCTGCTGAGATCTTCTGCCCTTATGATTCAATCTATAAATCAAAGCCAAAGTCTCTCTGTAAGGGGAAGTGCTCCACTAGAGATAGAAATACTCTCAATGAGACTGTGAGAGAAGAGAAAGACACCAAGACTGACAGATTGACTCTGAATGATGACGTCACTGCAAGTGTCTTCACTGGGACCATCACTGGACTGACAGCAGAGGATGCTGGGAAATACTGGTGTGCAGTGACATTAGAGAGAGACGTGAATTATCTTTACACTCATCTGATCGTCATCATGAACGAGGGTGAGAAAGGTTTATACATCTGGATATGTGAAACTATGGCTGTGAATTGATGTTCTTATATTTCTAATATTTCCAGAGCTGAACTTGACTAAGTATGAAGGAGACGACATGTCAATCCAGTGCAAACATCATGATGAACTTCAGAAATGCTTCTGCAAAGCACATGAACCCTCCGTGTGTGTGAAGGATGGAGTTTCATTAGAGAAGATCAGAGATGATCGATTCTCTTTCAGTGATGAAGCTTCTACTGGAGTCTTTACTGTAAACATCACTGATCTGAGAGAAGAGGATTCTGGGATATACTGGTGTGGATCTCACATCATCACTAAAGTCAATCTCACTGTAAAACAGGGTAAGTAATATTTGTGAATTATTTTGTATTAAAATTAAGTTAAGTAATAAGTTTTTTTTTTTTTTTTTGCGGTAACTGGGTAAAATGTGTTTCAAGCACATTAAACAGAACACACACCTGTTAAAGCATGTGACCAGTGATGGGGAAAGTTACTTTTAAATGTTACAATATTATGTTACTCCCTTAAAAAGTAACTAGTTCCATTACTTAGTTACTTTTTATGGAAAGTAACGAGTGTGGTAGATTGTTTCTTCTTTCGCACCTGACTTAAGTCTACCTGGGTCTCGTCTACAATCGACGTCCCCGTTCAATAATATACTCTAGTGCGTCTCCTCATCAACGTCGGCCGAGTCCTCTAACCCAGTGGTTCCCAAACCTGTCCTGGCGACCCACCAACACTGCACGTTTTCTTTGTCTCCCTAATCAAACACACCTGTTTCAACTCATTAGCTTATTAACCCATGTGATAATGAGCTGATGAGTTGAATCAGGTGTGTTTGATTAGGGAGACAAAGAAAACGTGCAGTGTTGGTGGGTCGCCAGGACAGGTTTGGGAACCACTGCTCTAACCCTCACTTGCTGCGCAGCAATAAATAAACCAACTCCACACAATGCCTTCTAATATGCTTTAATCACGGCTGGAGGATCTCAGACAAATATCAGAGAGAATCCCACCAGCAAAAAGAATACAACAGTTTTTACAGAATACGAGCATGGCAAAAGTGACATGATACATTACATAATTTCCCTACAATTTGATTGGTTCTTTACCAATTGGTTCTTTATTAGTTCTATGCAAACCCTTCTGTTACTAGGTTGAAGTAAACTCTGTTCCCCTTCGAGGGAACTCGCACTGCGTCGTCGTCGTGACGACACTTTGGGGAATGCCCCTAGCGTACCGTATCTGAAGCATGAATGAAATTTGTCCAATCCTGATTGGTGCTGCGTCATGACGTAGTCGATGATGGCACAACCGGAAGATACAAAGGGACGCCGGCACACACACACATTAGCTTTTTTGCTCTTCAGCTAAAGCGCTCTGTGTGAATTGTCTGTCTATTTATTGTTGTCTGTCTATATTTCAGTTACACAAACAGTTAAAATAGCAAGCGAGCAGTTTAAGTGTGTGTGCATCCGTGTCCGCGTTATTTGTCAGGCACGGACACACACCAGCTGTGTGTGCATTACCTAGGCGTGCAGCACGCTAGGGCGGCTCTCGAGGGAACCGCCTGTAGCGAGTGTGATAAGCTGCCGTTCAGGGTGTTGCGCTCACGGCTGGCCGTGTTTGATGAGCAGGGCCAGGCTCGCGAGCCCCGCGGTTCTGGGCCCGCCGTTGCCGAGGCAGCGAGCCGCCGCAGATCGTGGGGCTCACAGATGGATCTCTCAGGGGGACACGGGACTGCTACGGCATCTTCCCGGTCCTCGTCTGAGGATTCAGATGTTCTCCCGCCCCGTGTGGAAACCCGCGAGGCGGAGGACCCGATGTTACAGTTATCTGGCTCTGAGGAGTCAGATAATTCAAGCATCGAGGCGGGTGATGTGGAGCTTGATCAGCCACTTCACGCACCTGCTCAAGAGGAGCTGGTGGAGGTTTTGACCCGCGCTGTGGCCAAACTAAGAATTGATTGGCCACAAGAAGAATTACTAAGGCTGGTCTGGTGTGTGTGGAGAGACATTTATGGTTGAATTTGTCAGGGATGAAGGAGAGAGAGAAACATTTTCTCGTAGACTCCCCAATTTCACCTTCTGGCCTCTTCGGCGGCGCGGTTGATACTGTCGTCGGGAGGTTTCAGGAGGTGAAAAAGCAGTCGGCGGCCTTCCAACAGCACCTCCCTCACCACTCTGGCTCCTCAAAGAAGGCTGCCTCTAAAGGGCAGCCTCGGCCGCCTGCCAGCTCCTCGCACCGACACGTGCAAAAAGAGAGTGTCGCCTCTCGTACCCCTCCCGAGGGAGCCTGGCAAAGGAGGCAGTGCTCTCGCAGCAAGCCTTCTGAGCCTAAGGTCGATCTGAGGACCGTCCTGCAGGCAAAGAAGGCTTCCGCCAAGCGGTCCTAGTTGCAGCCGGACCGTTGAGAGCTGTCCCCCCCGGGGCGGAGCGATCGAGGTCGCCTCCCCCCCGGAGCTCTCGGGAAATCAGTGTTGTGTTCCCGCCGTTCAGTACGCTTCGGGCCACACTGATTTCCCGCGTACGCACGCCGCTCCAGCCGCCTCTAGTAAGACCTGCGGCTGGGCAGCGAACCAGCCTCGAGAGGCTGGTTCCCTTAGTAGATTATCTCGCCGCATGGTCATGCCTTCTGAATATATCTGCGTGGGCCCTGCGTACTGTAAAGCTGGGTTACAGGCTGCAGTTCAGCTCCCCTCCCCCGAAGTTCAACGGGGTGGTCTGGACTGTGGTCGGCCCAGAGCAGGTTCGGGTTATGGAACAGGAAGTTCAATCCCTGTTGGTCAAGGAGGCCATAGAACGTGTTCCTCTGCCAGACAGGGAGTCCGGGTTCTACAGCCAGTACTTCATAGTTCCCAAGGAGGATGGGGGGTTGCGTCCAATAATAGATCTCAAGCACTTGAATCGGTCTCTGAGGAGATTCAGGTTCAAGATGCTTACAATCCCAGCCATCGTGAGTAAGATTCAGTTCGAGGACTGGTTCGTCACAATAGATCTGAAGGACGCATACTTCCATATTTCCATCCTTCCATGTCATAGGAAGTTCCTGAGGTTCGCTTTCGGGGGTGAAGCGTACCAATATCGGGTTCTTCCCTTTGGCCTAGCTCTCTCCCCTCGCACCTTCACCAAGTGCATGGATGCAGCGCTGGCTCCGCTGAGACTCCAGGGCATCCGTGTACTCAATTATATCGACGACTGGCTAGTATTGGCCAAGTCGTGCGAGATGGCAGTTCGGCATCGAGATGTCGTTCTGGCCCACATCAGGTGCCTGGGGCTGAGACTCAACACGAAGAGGAGTCTGTTGACACCCTCCCAGAGGACTACGTTCCTGGGAATTATATGGGACTCCACGACGATGCGGGCACAAATGTCCATACGGGCGATGGTCTCCAGAGCGAATCTAGGCCACAACCTCACTGTGAAGCAGTTTCAGAGATTGCTGGGGCTCATGGCAGCAGCGTCCAGCATCATACCTTTTGGCCTGCTACACATGAGCCCCCTACAGTGGTGGTTTAGAGCCAAGGGGTTTTCCCCGAGGGGAAATCCGTTCCGTATGATCAGGGTAACGCGCAGATGCCTTCGTTCTCTTGTCGTATGGAGGAAACCTTGGTTCCTGTCCCAGGGACCGGTGCTGGGAGCATCATGTTGCCGGAAAACCGGTTCAACAGATGCCTCCCTCACTGGTTGGGGCGCGGTCATGGACGGCCGCTTTGCGAGAGGCCTGTGGGAGACCCGACACTCTTCCTGGCACATCAATTGCCTGGAAATGCTGGCGGTCTACAAAGCTCTGAGGAGTTTTTTACCGGACCTCCGCGGCCACCATGTCCTGATACGCTCGGACAACACGTGTAGTCGCGTATCTGAATCATCAGGGGGGTCTGAGGTCACGCCCTCAATGCAGACTGGCACACCAGATCCTTCTGTGGTCCCAGGGGAAACTGTCGTCTCACAGAGCGATGTATGTCTCCGGGGACCAAAATTAGGAAGCAGACGTCCTGTCGAGGCAGGGGCTGAGACCCGGGGAGTGGCGACTCCACCCCGAGGTGGTGGAGGCCATGTGCGTGAGATTCGGCCCAGTGGAAGTGGATCTGTTCGCGTCTCAAGAGACGTCCCACTGTCCACTGTGGTTCTCTCTCAGGTATCCAGCTCCGCTGGGGCATGGACGCAGCCTCGGCCAAGTCTGCACACATTTCCCCCGATCGCTCTGCTCCCGGGAGTCTTGGAGCGGGTCTGCCGGGAGGGGATCAGCCTACTTCTAGTAGCACCCCGCTGGCCGACCCAGGTGGTTCTCGGACATTGTGGCACTGCTGGGCATTGTGGTCCCTCTGAGGAGGGACCTGCTGTCGCAGGCAGGGGGCACAATATTTCACCCTCGGCCAGAGCTGTGGAACCTCTGGGTCTGGCCCCTGAGGGGGCTCGGTACTTAGAGGCTGGCCTGTCAGCAGGTGTTGTCGAGACCCTACTCAGCTCCAGGGCTCCTTCCACCAGGAGACTGTACAGCCTGAAGTGGAATGTGTTTTCCACTTGGTGTAGAGAGTGTGAGGGGGACCCAGTTAACTGCCCAGTGGCTTCAGTGCTGGAGTTCTTCCAAGATCGTTTCTCCGTCGGTCTTACCCCGTCCACACTTAAGGTGTATGTGGCTGCCATTGCGGCTTTCCACTCGCATTTAGGTGATGGGCCTTTGGGAAAGCACCATCTGGTTGTACGTTTCCTCCATGGGGCTTGGAGGATGAGGCCTGCGGCTCACTCCAGAGTCCCAACTTGGGACCTGGCGGTGGTTCTAGAAGGGTTGGCTGAGGCCCCCTTCGAGCCACTGGAGTCAGCTGAGGCAAAGAACCTGACCTTCAAGGTATATTTACATTTTACATTTAGTCATTTAGCAGACGCTTTTATCCAAAGCGACTTACAACTGAGGACTAAACCAAGCGAGTCATCGTGAAGAGGCAAAAACAACGCAAGAAGTGCTCAAAATACAAAGTTCAGACATAGCTCGGAGTAGCATAAGCCAATAAGCCAGGCAAGCGAGGATTTAAAGGAAAGGATTTTTTTTTAATTATTTTTTTTTATGTTATGTTAAGTGTTCCCGGAAGAGATTAGTTTTCAGTTGTCTTTTGAGTGCTGTCAGGGATTCTGCATTCCGGATGACGGTGGGGAGATCATTCCACCAGCATGGAACCGTGAATGAGAATGTTCTGGAGAGTGATTTTGTGCCCCGCTGTGATGGTACCACGAGCCGTCGCTCATTGACCGATCGTAGGCTTCTGGTAGGGATGTAGACTTGTAGTAGTGAGTGGAAGTAGGAGGGAGCTGAACCTGTGGTCAATCTGTAAGCAAGCGTCAAAGCCTTGAACTTGATGCGAGCAGCGAGTGGTAGCCAGTGCAGAGAGATGAACAGAGGAGTGACGTGGGCCCTTTTTGGCTCGTTGAAGACAAGACAAGCTGCAGCATTCTGGATCATTTGTAGAGGTTTAGTTGCACATGATGGAAGTCCAGCCAGAAGAGCATTACAGTAATCAAGCCTAGAAATGACCAGGGCCTGGACGAGAAGTTGTGTTGCATGATGATCAGTTAGGAAAGGCCTGATCTTTCTGATGTTGTGCATAGGTGGCCTTTCTCCTTGCTATCACCTCTCTGAGGAGAGTGGGGGATCTCCAGGCCTTGGCTATAACGCCAACTTGCCTAGAGTTTGCCCCTGGCGGAGTTAAGGCCATCTTACATCCTAGACCGGGCTATGTGCCCAAGGTGCCGTCTAGTGCGGCATGGTCAGTGGTTCTTCAGGCCTTCCATCCTCCACCTCATGGGACGGCGGAAGAGGGGAGACTTCACCTGCTCTGCCCAGTCAGAGCCCTAAGGGTTTATTTGGAGAAGTCTTGTCAGTGGAGGAAGTCAGACCAATTGTTGGTGTGCTTTGTTTCACCCAAGAAAGGGCTGCCTGCATCTAAACAGACAATCAGCAATTGGATTGTCCAGGCTATAGCCACGGCTTATCAGGTGCGCAATTTGCCTTCACCTATGGCCGTGAGGGCACATTCTATCAGGGGCATGGCCTCCTCGGTGGCCCTCCTTTCTGGCGTCTCGCTTCAGGAGATCTGCGAGGCGGCCGGGTGGGCCAACCCGCACACCTTCATACGTTTCTACAGTCTGCAACTCCCCGTGACGCCTGGCGCCAGAGTGCTCGCGTCCTAAGTGTGCCTGGTCTCCCAGCTTCACACTAGGGCGGACGTGATTACGGTGTGGCATAGTGGGCATTACGTTCCCCAAAGTGTCGTCACGACGACGACGCAGTGCGAGTTCCCTCGAAGGGGAACGTCTCGGGTAACGACTGTAACCCTTGTTCCCCGAGAAGGGAACGAGACACTGCGTCTCGTCGCCACACCTATCACGGACAGAGCGCTTGCTTCATCACAAAAGAGCTAAAGTGTGTGTGTGCCGGCGTCCCTTTGTATCTTTCGGTTGTGCCGTCATCTACTACGTCATGACGCAGCACCAATCAGGATTGGACAGATTTCATTCATGCTTCAGATACGCTACTCTAGGGGCATTCCCCAAAGTGTCGTCACGACGACGACGACGCAGTGTCTCGTTCCCTTCTCGGGGAACAAGGGTTACAGTCGTAACCCGAGACGTTTTCTTGTTTGCTATTATAAAACTAGGCATCTGTCTTGTTTCATTTCCCCTATGTGTTATATATGGACACACGCTCTGGATTCAAAAGCATATGAATGCTATTCCTGCAAAAAAATATAATTGTTAGTTATGATTAATTAAAAAATACATCATGTGTTACATTAATTTTGGTTAACTTTTTCACACCTGGGCTAGGCTTGCTTTTAGGATTTTTAATAACAAAATAAAATACTATTTTTGGCAAATGTAAAGGCCATTTTCCCACCAAAAGTTAAATGAATAAGCCTCAGGCTGAAGGGAATATAAACTCACGTCTGTGCAGTAGAGCGAGCAGCTCAATCAAACCTTACAACTGTGCTTCCATTCTGGAATACAGAAAAATAGGACACAGGAGAAGA